AAAATGAAATGTTTATCATGTATTTGATTGTGTTTATCTGCAGTTAATTACACGAATTTAGATATGGGAAGGGTTTAAGAGTTTTTAAAAGTTTTAGTCAAATGCTTTATTAGATAGTATAGATAGTATAGATAAATCGATAATATGCTTAGAAATTAGAAGAAAAAAAAAACACGACCGAATAAAATTTTTAAGTAGATTTATATAGTAGACTTGAGACCAGCCTGTTTCCCTAATACCACTTTTTTACACTTGAAACTTCATAGCAAAACGTTATGAAGTTAACCTTCATATTTTGCGGTGAAAGTTCGATTTTTTTTTACCTTCACAACGTTTTGCTATAAAGTTTCAAGTGTAAAAAATCAGTCTCACAGATCTCCTGAAAACTAGTTGGTCAACCCTTATATAGTATTTAAAATATATATGTACACTTTGGGTTTTCGGACAGATCAGGTGGCCAAAAATCAAATCCAACCCGAACACAAATTTTTACCAAAAGCCAGTTTTCAGATTTTCGGATTTTGAGGCATTTGGGTTTTATATAAATACCTTGTTTTCTGTTCGGGTTTGGGTTCGCATTTTTAGATAATTCGGGTTTCGCACACCCTAATCATGGGTCGGTTGAATGAGCTCTCATGCAGACTTAGCCACATGGAAGGAATTAAAACAGTGGCATATGCGGTTTCCAGGTGGGTATAGCCGCATGTTACCACCGGAGGGGCTTGGATGCAGGTTGAGCCGCTTGGCACCTGCGTTTGTTTCTATTTGGTCTTTAGCCAGCCTCTCTATACCAGTACGCAGAATTTTGAGCTTCTTTCGAGCTCTCTTTTTTCCCATTGATCCATGATAGAGTTTGTTGACCCCCGAATCCCCCTTTATCAAAAACTTGTTCAACTTAACGGTCGTACTCTTTAACACTACCTTACTCGGCTCGTTCAAAAGAGCAATTAAGTTTTGACTCTAGTCAAGCCGAGCCATTCGAGCATATGTTTTTTTCGAGCCAAACATGTTCATGTCCATAAATCATTATTTCGAAGGATAAAAAAATCATTGAGATCAAGCCAATAAACAAGCTAATCGATCTCGAGTTTGAACCCATGAACTAGTATCAAGCTCAACTCAAAACATTGTAAGTTCGAGCTCTAGCCATGGTGATTTAACTCCTTCCCATTGGGAACCCGGTTCACCAGCCCCATTCAGGGCCAAGGATCCACGTAAAAACGGGTAACGGGCACAGGGCCGGGGATCCCCGGCATGTTGAAAACAAGGGTTGAGAGTAGGTAATGTAGTCCCCAACCCACCCCGTCCCTATATGTATATATTAATTAAAATTATATTTTTTTTAATGTGTTGCATGATATATTATATTTTTCCACCAATTTTGACCATTTCTGAATCATTTATAGCTAAACTTGGGAATTGGGATAGACAGATGGTGGACCAGGAATAGGCCCATAAAAATTAGGGAGGGGATTTGATTCCTCATACCCGCCGAGGCCGGGGATAGGGATGGGATAGTGAACTGGGGCCGAGGCAAGGAATTGCATTCCCACCCCAACACCGCCCCGTTGCCATGCCTATCGAGTTCGAACTCGAACCCTGCTATGAAAAAGTTATTCGATCTCGAGTCTGGTAATAATTTTTCAAATTCGGCTCGAATAACTTGCAATTCAACTCATTAACACCCCTAAGTGACACCAGTGGTGATGGATTGATAACCACTTGGAGTGTAGCGCACTAGTTAAACACCAATAATTAAGTTTAAAAAAGAATTGAACATGAAGCAAAGGAAGGTAGCCCTCCAAGATTAAGATTCCTTTAAGACAAATTGCACCTAAACATATAGAGATACCACAAATACTGGCGAAGAATCGTGTGAAAAGGGAAGCTATGGTGAGAAGTGTAAGAAGGGATCTGAACCTTTGATCACTCTCAATCTCATGCCCACCCATGAATTGCGCTTTAGAAGGGAGTTGATCTGATGCATCTCGATGCACCTCATTAGTGTTGACATTCAATTATGATCGATCCAAGGGTGGATATCTTTTCTTATGCTTCTAGGAACCCAACCCAACCCAACAAACACATTGGGGTGTGTGTGTATTAGCAGATTTTGTAACAACATACGACAATTGGTCGACCTCTTTAACCCAAGGGATAAAGGAAAACAGATGCTCCAAAAGACTTACCACGACCTTTGACTAATGCAGGACTCTGCTAAAACATAAGACTTATTACAACCTTTAAATATTTCATCCAAGACTCTAGCAGTAACCTCAAGGGCATCCTCTTCCACATACCATTTTTGTAATCTGCTGCAACAAAATTAAATTACATCTGTAGGAGAACAAGCTTAAATAAAAGATAAAAATACCATATCAATAAAAATATAGAAATACCCAGATCAATGAAACATCCCGATCAACGGTTTGAAAGAAGTTTGGTTTTGAAATACCACAAGCGACCGATTTAGAAATATCTTGGAGATAGTCGTCATTTCAAATCCAACTCCCATAGACTTCAATTGTTTCCATCGCATCTCTACCCCCGCCTCTTTCATCAAATTTTCCCTAATCTCTCCATTGCCTCCACATCATCTTCTCAATTATCTCGATGCGAAGAATAATAGGTAAGATCATAATGTTTAGATTCTCCAAATCCTACAAACTAAACAAAATTTACATAGATACTGGAATTTAATTCCATTCCCAATCCTACAAACCAAACACACCAAAATTCGAAATCCTTCCACGAAATCTGAATCCCTCAAAAACATTCTGTCAAATCAAACGAGCCCTAAGCTAGTTTCGGTTATCTTCCATCATGGCACTAAATTATGCAATTCTTGACACCAAATACAACAAAAAAAAAAAATTGCTATTATGTATTTAAGCATCTAGGGCCAAAAGGGTATACAACTTCCATAACAAACATATTAATCTGATAGGAAAAGAAGAGAGAGAACCTCATTTCAAGAATCCACTTTGGTAACTTCAGTTGGTGTCTTTGCTTCTATTGCTAAAGCATGCAATCCACTCTGTAACTCATCTTCCAATAGAGAGTATACAAGTCTATGCCTCTTAACCATACTCTTCCCTTCAAAATCCATTGAAACCACTTTCAAATTAAAATGTGTCTCCCCATTGCTACCTTTCACCCCTCCATGCCCACCATGCTCATATGATACATCGTTGACTTTCAATTCAATAGGTTTGAGCTCCCTCTTTAATATCTCTAACATCCTCTGTCCTCTGCTTCCCAAAACACCAACATCTTTTGAATCATTTGAATCACCATTGGACTCTGAATCAACCTCAAAATTCTGGATAGAGTTCTCAATTTTTGAATCTAATTCCACTTTCTCCATGGGGTTTTGAATCTCAGGTCTTGATTCAATCCCTTTCTCAGCTTCTACATACAAAGTGAAGGCCTTTTTTTGCATTAATTTCAACATATTTAAGAACCCATTGTTCCTAGAAGGTGTCAAACTTTGTTGCAAACCTAAAAGAACAATGAAATCAGGGGAAACTTTCAAGATTTCTTGAATAGCGTGACCAGAGAGACCCTGAACTAACAAAGCCGCTAAACCCTTAGTGAGTACAGAATCAGAATCGGCCTCAAAGATCACATTCTTATTGTCGGAATCGAAATATGCCCTTAACCAAACCTGAGAAACACAACCTTTGACCTTGTTTTCGTTAGTCTTGAACTGGGTTTCGAGGGGCTTAAGGTTTTTGCCATAGAACAACAATTGCTCGTACTTGGCTCTTGGATCTTGAACGGATTGGAAGAGAGTGACGATTTCTTGAAGCTTCTTAGGGAGTTCTTCCATGGATTGGAGGACGTTTGGTTCATATGAAGATCGGGAAGCAGAAATTGGGGGAGATGGCGTTGTGGGTATTGACTGGATTGTAATCGATTTGATTAGAGAAAGCCTTTTTGGAGATGAAAGTGGGAAAGTATAGAGAGTTAAGGGTTTGAATATTGGGGAAGAAATGGGGAATTTTGGGGGAAATAGAAGGAAAGACATAATGAAATTCATGCTTTGAGGAAGATTGTGGCGTGACAGAGGGAGGGAGGGATCAAAAAGCAAGAAACTCGCAGCCCTTTGGTTGTCGTAACCCAGTCGCCGGCAATGATGTACAAGTACTGCAAAGACAAAGGGTGTTAGTTTATTTAATAGAAAACTGTAACGAGTGCAAACGTGCGAGAGTGGCAAGTGAAAGAATTGTGCAAGATTTTAAGGTTTTAATTTGACATATGTAGTTTAGTAATTTACCAATCTTGTCTATGATCTTGATTTTTGTTCCACCTATTTAAGTGGCAAGTCCTGTCCTAGTCTAAATGTCGTCTGGAAACAAGCTTTTTTTTCCTATCACCTCCCGCGTACCAAACGCACCTGAATGAACCCCATAGGGTTAGTTTGATACACAACCGAGACGGGCGAGAATAAGGTAGACAAGTGAAAGAGTTGTGCAAGGTTATAGAGTTTAAAATTGACATGGATGGTTTACTAATTAGTCAGGTCCTATCTAAGACTTGATTCACATCAAACATGGGCCAACAAGCAGGCCATGCACCACTAAGGCAAGGGCATATACATATGAACACCACAAATGGCCACAGAGAATTAAAAAAACCCTAATATAGGCACAAAATCATGTTACAAAATCTCATATTCCATTAAGCGATCAAAATGAAAACATGTATCACAAACAAATTAATCTAACATTTAAACATAAATCCATTACTAACTTGTAAAAACGAGAGATAGGGTGAGAGATAACAGGAAAAGGGGAAGCACGGAGATATATGGGTGTGAGAGGATGAGGACTAGATTGTGAGACCGAGATAATAAGGCATGAGAAGTGAGAGACCGATGACATTACTGGCTGGTGTCACCATTACCACCTGGACTGTGAGAGGCAGTGAGAGTGGCTGAGGCATCGAAATCTCTTTATCATGTGGCAATCGGCGAGGAGAGCAGAATGGTCAAAGAAACTTGAGATAAGTTTCAAAGTTTGACTAAATTTAGATGTTCAATTTAGAGCTGGCAAAATGATGTGTTAGGGTCCAAATCAGGACAAACAGGCAAAAGATTCAAGAACTCTCAAAACAGATCAGATCGGATAGACCTGTTGGACCAAACACTGTTTTCTTGACAAATTAATTAAAATAGCCATTTTCAGCCAAGGGTTTCACCTCTTAGATAACTTTGATTAGTAGTCAGAGGGCAGGCCTGCATACATTGATCGAGGATTATGGGCATGCAGCTAATTTAGCTTAGTAGTCGGAGGGCAGGCCTGCATACATCCACATCGTTACAAATCCTTAGCACAAATGGTTTCTGTAAACAAGGCTTCATCAGGTTAGCATCTTTCCACTTCTCGCATGAACTTCCATGTCCCCAGCATTTCAAAGTAGCGATTAACAAATGCCAACAGATCCTCCTTTAGCAGAAGAAGCCATTTGTTAGTTACTCCCTTTAACTCCAAGTGTAAATGTTCTCTTTACTTTCACCTGTTGGTTCATAAGATGAAGATAGCGATATCGCATTCCCATTAACAGATTCCTCTCAGCCAAGAGATCCTTCTTATAAGCTTCCCGTAAAACCACAGTTTGCGTCCTGATCTTGTTTGAAACGTAAAAGATCCCTGGATGATGCACCAAAGCCTTTTTAAACCTCGGACCAAATCCCAAATAATCCCCTAAAGCCAATAAGTTCTCCTTCTCGGTCTTCTTCGATACAAGAAGATGCATCAACTCATGTAGCACTGCCACTGTCCACTTCTCTGCCTGATCGCCGTTGGGCGGCAGGAAGAATGCATCTTCATATGGTGATATATAAGGCAAATTCTGCCATTCATGCATCCATATCCTTACTTTCTTTTCCAAATCAAACCCTCTTGGTAAATTTATCGAGAATTTAATAGGCATTCCCCTAATGATGCCACGATTTTCCTCCATTGATTTTCTTTGCAACACCGACGTTGCAAAATTCTCTCTCCACGAGACCAATTCCAAGCCAAACACTTCACAACCCTTTGAATTGTTATAACCCATATTACAAATTTGAAAATATGCAGGAAATTCAGGAAGTAGTGTGAGGATAAAATCATGAGGCAGACCAAGATCAAATCGTATCAAATCAATGATATCTAAAGGAAGCCGTTTCGCTCGAGTGAGCATCAACAGTTTCACCAACCTCTCAGCAACATCTTTCCGATAATGGGAAGAGTTCAGAATCTTGGATTCTTCATTGTGAACAGTTAGAGCCTGTGGGGTGAGTTTGACATGAGGGAGGGAAAATGGTTTAGAGGATTGGAATATTTGAAAAAGTGAAGGGTATTTTTGGAAGAAATTGGTAGCGGTGGTGGGGAGATTGAAAAGGGTTTTATAAACAGACACAGTCGAAAGAAGTATGGTTTTAGACGGTTGAGAAACGATTAAGTTCTTGAGAGAGATAATTTGTTTCAGGTTTTTCTCCTTTTCGACTGCAAAATCAAGGTATGCGTCTCGGACCCATTTGACTCTGGCATCAACAAAGGTGCGACAAGGTTGCAGGCAAAAGCGATGATGAAGGTGATTGATCGGGGTGGTAGAGCGGAAAAATAGTGCCATTTGAACTACCTTTTTTGCTGGAATTTAGCAGAAACTTCAGTAGCCTCAATCCATGATTCCATGGTAATTCTAGGTTCCATTTTATGAGCCTTACAAACTTTCCTTCTTTTGCTATTTTACAACAAACCACTCTTGTTTCCTCCTTAAAACTCCAGTTCCCAATCACTATCAACTCTAGCAGTTGGTGATCATGAAACACAAAGAGAGATCATCAACACGACACCATCTACCCTTCAAAATTCTAGTATGTTTCTKCAAAGTTCACGCATTTTTTCAATAGTCAGCATGTTGAGAGATTGCACTACAAAAAAGTTGATCAAAGTTAAGTTTAAATGACAGCTATACAGGCAGAAATTTTTGAGGTGCTATCCAAAATTAACGTGGCTATAACTGAAACAAATTCATACATACGAACAACACAAATCGCCAGACAGAATTATAGAAAGCCTAACATAGGCACAAAATCATGCTACAACATGCCTTAAAGCTTCCATAAAATCTGATACTCCATTTAGTGATCAAAATGAAAAACTGTATCACAAACAAATTAATCTAGCATTTAAACATATACGCATTACTAACTTGTGAAATTGAGAGATAGCTTGAGAGATTACAGGAAAGGACGAGTACAGAGATATATGGCATGAGATGGTGAGGGCCTAGATTGTGAGACCCAGATACAAGGTGTGAGTGGTGAAAGACCTACGGTGTTACTGGCCAAGGTTTTAAAGAATGGAAATGAGCCTCGAGGTGTTTTCCCCTTAGGTACGTGAGGCATAAGCCTCGAGAGGGTCGAGGCGTAAGCCCCAAAAAATAAAACAACAAAATTCATAAACCCATAAATCCATAACACTTAACAAAAAAAAATTAAAAAACAGAATATATACTATATACATTAAACCAGATTATACCTAAAAAACAGAATATGTACATGAAAACAGCATATATACATAGAAAACAGAATATATACCATGTACATAAAAACAGTATATGTACATAAATAAGAATATATATATATATATATATATATAGGGTATATTTCTTTTACAACCTTGTGTATTTGTACAACCCTTGCAACCCAATTAATTGAGATATTTATAGAAATGATGGGAGTTCATTTATTATGATTTGAATATTTATGGAATATGAATAGAGTTCATTAATTATGATTAATATTTTATATTAGGAAACAATCAAAACAGATTGTTGGTGATTTTAGTGTCACCGGATCCATTTGGTGTAAGGGGTAAATATACAAGAGCTAAAGGGGATCTTTACTTGGTTTTTTATACAAGTTAGGAGGTGCAGCACGCACATTTGTATAAGACTAGATTGATCCCGGTACGACCAAAATGCGGGGGTCAAGGGGGCAGCGCCCCTGGCGGGGTCCAAGGGGCAGCTGGTTAGTTCCTAACGGACTAAAATTTAGTTTCTAAAGGAGGTTTTGGATCTAACTTCTCATAACCTTCCATAACTGTTTGGTCTTATCCGATTTCTGGAAATAACCCTCGTTTTTGGCTCTGGAATCTGAGGATTGGAATATTAAAAACCTACAGTAACATAATCTAATTTTGGTGCCTAAGAATTAGATTGTTCCTCCTTGGATTATCCCATAATCAGAATTTCGTGCAACCCAAGGCTATAGGGTCGAATATATTTAATTCGAAAAGTGATATACACGATCCAAGCAAGAATCCAAGCAAGTGTGATTTCAGAAAACCATTCTATTGTCAATTTACCCCAATACAGATTATAAAGAAAAGAAGCTATACACATAAAAGAACATGCAGATTACTAGATAAAAATACACATACAGATTCTTACAAAAATATACAGAAACTTAAATGTGCTTACAAAAGAAAAGAGGAGAAATTGCTGCAACCAACAGGTACAAGCAGTTGGAGAGATACGAAGCAATACAGAAGAGAGGAGAAGGTGTCGACAATGGCGTAAACCTTTGTTTTGTTGATCTCCACTTTTGGGATTGGGATTGGGATTGGGATTGGGCTTGGGCTACATAGGAAAGAGGCAGATGGGTTTCCTTATTATGTTTAGGGTTTTCTAATTTTCGGTTATTTCCTTATAGAAAACGTGAGATTCTCTATTAGAGAAAGAAATGCACGCCTTGGCACTACCTCGTCGCCTGAGCGCCTGACCGCCCGCCTCACACCACCAAGGCGCACGTCCCTACAAGATAACTGAGGTGGCGCCTCCTATTCGCTTTTGGACCAAACCGCCCTGAGGCACGCCTCAAGGCGTACACCTCGGCCGTTTTTTTTAAAACCATGGATAGAGGGTTAAACAACAAATCATTATCAAGAAATAATAATAAATGAAAGTGAACAGAACTACTTGATCAAGTATACCAAAAACACAATAAGTATAACAGTCCAACATATTAATTGCATAACTATAATACGACAAAGCATTGGACCTAAAACATACCAGAACAAAGAAGACATATAATAACAGACTTGTAACATAATCTATATCAAAATAACTGTACATGTTAACAGATGGTTTCATAATATGGTTCATAATTAGAATGGGAGATGTTGGCAATAAGATATGGCACCTCTATGTAAGAACGTTTTTTAGCACTATGATGAATAGTCAATCATGTTATTACTTGAGGCCAAAAACGACAATCATCAGCCAATTGTACCATCTTTCAGAATTGGTTCGAGCATTAGGCAGGAAACTTGAAGTCATATGAATGGATACTTCCAAGCAACAGTCTGGAAGAAAACCTCGTTTTATTTGATTGGCTGCAGAGTAACAAAGACAATAAAACCACAATAACATTGGCATCCAACAACAATAGATACAATCTACAAATCCTTACTTGAAATAGCCAAACAAATATAAAACAAGAATGTTACAAACAGTTGACAACCTAAAAGTACACAATTTGAACACAAGAAACAGATATAAGCAATTTTTCATTTACTGGAAGAACTGGCACATAAATAAAAGATACCATACAAATGATATGTGCCCTGAAAACTACTCATTCCATAGATTCAATGAAAATGGCAGGCAAAACAAAACTCAAATCACAAAATATATATATATATATATATATATATATATATATAGGAGTGATCATATGAAAACCGCCTTCATTTGTGTAAACCGTGCAAACCACCTTCATCTGTCGATTTCATTGTTTAATCTTATGAAATTTTTTCATGAAATTGTTTAATCTTGTGAAATTGTTTCATATAATACTTTTTTTGATGAAGTTGTTTCATATATGGTTGTGAAATTGTTTCATATAATACTTAATGAAACTGTTTCATGTATTTTTCTAACATTAATGAAACTGTTTCATGTATTTCTCTAAAATTAAAATAATGAAGATGATAATATCTATGATTAACACCCTCCATAATAAAAATGATTAATCAACCTCTCATAATTACAAAAAAATGAACAAAATGAAAAATTATGATTGGTTGAATACGGTTTGCATGGTTTGTACAAATTGAGTGGTTTGCATTTGATCGTTCCCCTATATATATATATATATATATATATATATATATATATAAACCTTTTCCTCTGTGACAAGCAACCCTTTTCCGAGGGAGAAAGCCCAATGAGCCATGTCTGGGATGCTAAAATTTGCGACGAAACATCCAACCCAGCTTGTTATATGTCTGCAAAACTCATAAGTTAGTTCCCAAGTATTCACGGGAGAAAACACAACAATTTAAAAGAATCAAAATTTCACATGGCAATAGGCATATGTGCATACTGTATTCAGATAGAGGAACCGTATCTCAAAAACATTAATTTCACTATCTATTCCCATCTGTATTAGCACACAATTCATGCAAACAAAGTAGACTAACCAAGTAAATCATAGCATAAATGATAAAAACTAAAAATCAGTTTTTATTTGATCATTAGTCATCACATGCCTAGATGTTTAAAAATAAAGAAAGCAAAAAAAGGTTATCATGGAAACACTGGTAAAACGAGTCAAAATTGAAGTAGTTAAAGAGTCCCACAAACGGGAGATTTGTTGTTATGCTTTATATTTTAATAAACATGACAAAACTTATGAATGATTTAGATTATCCGAGAAAATAGAGATACAATTGACTGGCTGCATAAGGAATTAACCACATTATGTGATGACGAAAAGAAAAGCTCCAATACCAATTTGAATATGTGAAACTAAAAACAGCCAGGATCCTGAATCAAAATGAAAGTAATCGTCTCCAAGAACACAAACATTTATAGTCAGTATACATATAAGATTATGAATACAATAATCAACAGAACGCTTAGATAATTCAGACATTCATACCTTGAAACCTAAAGCGAGCGCGAGCAGGGATCTGAGAGATAGCAAATGCATGAGTCTATGGTTAGGCTTCTATGATGCTATGGAGATGGATTGTTGACCTTCCGATTATAGCATAGGAATCGAGCCTTCATCGGCAAGTTTTGGGACAAAAAGATGGGCCCCGGAAACCATCCTTTGGTTGAATTGAATCCAACACCAATCAGCACGACATAAGAATCGTGATTTGCCCCGATCCGGTGGCCGGTGGGAAACCAGGCTCCCCCGACCCGAACAGGGATCGGAGCCGAGGCTGAGGATCTCTGATGCTCAAACCGGGGTCGGGGGATGTTACTCAAACCGGGATCGGGGCCAGAGCCGGGGATCCACGATAGACTCAAACTAACGGATATTCTTCAAGGGATTTGACTAGGGACGGGATGTTAATCCCCGTACCCGCTGGGGAGCGGGACCGGAATAGGAGGTTGTTACTACAAACCAGGGTCGAGGTCAGGGCCGTGGATTACAAAACCTGCCCCATCTCCACCCCATTACCATGCCTACCACAACACGACCAAAGAGTAGGTTTTTTATTTATTTTTTTTAAATTAAAATTTGTTTGAATGATATATAAGGTTTTAAAATGGCTTAACTTTTCAATTGTTTAAACATTAAATTTAAAAAAAAAAAAAAAAAAAAGAGTAAGCTACAAACTTGGTCCATGTAGTTTATCAAAAATAACATTTCTGGTCCATGTGGTTTTGAAGGTGATAATTCTCATTTTTTAAAGTTATTTATTACTTGTTATATCATTTTATTTACCCAATTTACTTCTATCTCTATCATTTTGTCTAAATTATTCTTAAAAGGTGATGAATTACCAATGATTAATTTTTGTGCTAAAAATGACGTTACTGTGGATGGCCATTTTTATGCTACTTTTGGATAATAAAATGTTTTGCTATTATCTGGTCTACAGGAAAAATATCTTGAAGATTTGAAGTGATCTAAAAATCTCTAGAAGATTGGATAAACAGTGATCATCACAACTTTTTCATATAAAATGAGGCATGGTGCAAGTATTAAAGATCATCACATCTTCAACCAAGAGCTACAATCTCACTTTTATTCTCAAGCATTTACTGTTGTGCTTTGAGATTTTAGTGTAGAATTTAATTTTCAGCATTTAATTTCTATATTTTAATTTCCGCATTTTAACTTCTGTACACAGCTTGTGCTCTATGGCCTAGTTGTTACTTTTATTTAAATACAAGTATTTTCGAAGTATTTATTTATCATGTTTTTCAAATCTAGTATGAGCTAATCACCTCATTGGGTGTCGATGTGAGTCAAACTTAAGGCTAGTAGGCAACATTTGAGTGTTTTCATCGTTAGTAATTCTTAAGCTTCATCACTTGAGTCGGGACTTAACTCAATGTGGATAAGTTGATCGCTTTAAAATGTTAATATTAGATCTTAGACGCAGATATGGGCGAATTGGAGATACGGCTTAAGTGATGCACAAATATTTGAGAGTGTCTTTGATAATCATGTAGAGATACGGCTTTTGTATAATTTACTAAGGTTCAAACTTTAGTCGAGTTTTATATCACAAAGAGATTTTGTATAAATCTTTATACTAATCAAACTTGATTTTTATATATCAAACTTAGTTAAATCGGCAAGATTACAAATCAGTAATGATGGACACTTTGTTGGCACGGTTTATAAAGGTTCACTTTCAAGAGATCGGGATCTCTATAGACAATTTTGTGATTCACAAAGTAACTGCCCATTTTGGTACTCCCATTGTAACAACCCCGTTCCGTGTGGCCGAAGAACCGTGTTACAAAGAAAAACATAACAACAAAACTAACTAAGATATACGGGAAAACCAGATCTATAATGAATATCTATCAAAATAAAAGTGTGATAGACTAAAATTAAGACGATATGGATACAACTACAAGTGAATAGACTTATTTTATGAACGAAATATGCACTTTAAATGCTCATTAATATGAGCTTTTAGCTTGTTGTAAAAGAATAGCTAAAGAAAATGATATATTCCTATATTTTATTGGTTTAAGAAATCTATTTAATCGGTTTTAGACTGTATGGATTTATTCATTCAAAAAAATACCCATGAATTTAATCACTCAAAACATAAAAGTTTGTTTGGTTCTTTTTAGACATTTTCCGACATTTTTACCACATGAACCATTTTTAAAGATGAAGGTGGATCATAATTTATATCTAAGAAATTGTTTAACAGTTACTGAATGATTTGATATATGATGATTAAGTAGTCAGAATTATTAAGAGTCTATCATGATATAATGAAAATTGAAACATGATTGGTTGGTAGTTATTCAGAATGAAATTAGCATGCTTAATGGTTTATGAAGACCCATGATACAAAATCATTCAGAAAGTTTTAAAACCATCAAGAGACAGACTTTTTTTATCAAACAAGATTGACCGTTTAGCAATTCAAGAACTGCCTTTGATGAAACTATTAAAAGGTAAATAAACAGGATCTAAGTAACCGCAAGTTAGAATTGCCATACTATATAACATGCGTTTATGAAATAACCAACAGATTGGTTAAGAAATAGGAAGAACTTTGCCTAATAAGAGGCTGTTTACCAAACACTTATCCGGTAAGTGCTTACTGGTAAAATTTACCACTATCATTTACTTATCGGGTAAGATTTTAGTCCACCAAAACATCGTATGCAACAATTTACCCGGTAAACGCTTACCGTAGTAAAAGTCGTCGCCCTCACTTACCGGGTAAGACTCTTGGCCCTTGTCTCGCTCTTACCAAGTAAGATTCTTGGTCTTTACCATATTCATCTATTAGACATTTCCCTTTTCTGCATCCTTTTTTAAATAGAGAACCTTTTACATACGATGTGTGAGGTTAAAATCGATCCAAGTTTAGTTCTTTGATAAAGTCGTAGTACTATGTTTCGAATTCAACTCGATTAACATCCAATTGATCAAATTTGATGATTTTCAGGTCAAAGACCATCCCGTTTAACTGATTTTTTAGCGCATCTATGGCAGCAAAATTGCATCTACACAAACCCGATTTATGCAAAGTAAATTGATTCACAAGAAACTAACACAACTTCAAAGAGTCATAAGACCGATTTCTATCGCTACGGCTGCAAACAAAATTGTGACGAAAGGAAGCCCAATGACTGCAGTTTCAATACCACCTCACAGGAAAAACCTTCTTCTGCTAGTGTCCATTTCCGGCTGCGGTTAAGTAGAAATCAAAGGGAATCAAGTTAGATAGATGCATGAACCGCAACTTAAGTACAATAAAGTAGATACAAAATCAAGAAAGAAAGCTAGTTATACCTTGTGAACCCATTCATACTCCCCTCCTTTTGTATCAAATGTTCCATGTTGTAGACTTGTTAATTTTAGGGTAAAACGGGGCCCACATTCCTAAAAACATCAAACAAAAAGGTCAACCTACTTCCGTTCCGTATGGGATTTACTGGGTATGTCTTTATGGATCTCGAAGAAGAAAAATACCTGCAGTCGAGCAATTACTTTCCCTTTTGGGGTCTTCTTCTCATCCCCAGTATCCTTGTTCTTTTCTTTTGCATCGTGCTGTTTGTTTTCTCGAGTTTCAAAAATGTACCTATACAGCCCATCTACCTTAAGGAAACTTCATCCCAAAACGACTGCTTAAATAAAAATATCAGATCATAACTGACTCACCGATGATGACGGAAGAATATAAAATCTCGCTGATTATGAAAAGTGACAACTCTTCGACCACGAAATTCAGGATCTTGTGGAAAAAGTGACTGTATTAACCTACATAAAACAAGTAAGCATTTTTTAAGTTTGAGAAATGGAAACCAAAATCAAGCCAATTACATAATATAAGCTGCTATAAGTTTAGGTGTTAGTAGGTATGGAAGCCATGTATCTGGGAGGAACTTAAAAGAAGGGCTTTCGGTTTTTTCAACCCATTTTTGTGTTGACATGAAAAATATAGTAGTAAGCAGGTTTAGAAAGTGAAGTAATTAATAACGGAATAATTTCAACCTTCCAACACGATGACCCAGACGGGTGGTGAAGTTGTTCATCACTAGCTCAGGTTTGTGACTGGTTGGGTTTCCATGATTCTGTAATAATATATAAGAAAATGTGTAAAAATCTAGTTACAGCAACAACAAACAAGACAGTAGGGATGAAATCCGATATATTTAAAGCCACCTATCTGGCCAAAACCAGAATCAGCTGAAGCAGATACTGCCTCAGCCCAAAATAAACGTCCACAAAAAAAAACATACAGTTTTAGAAATGCAAGTATTACACATTTGAATCAACTAAAAAACTATCTTACTCTTAATAACAGAGGGGTTAATGAATTTCTCCGTCTCATAATCTAAGGGTAGAATTGGGAAGTAGACACTTGCTTTCAGAGTGGACACTTCTTTTGGGACACATACTAAAATAGAAATGTTGACACTTATTTTTGGACAGGGAGTATTATCTGACACATATATGCCGATGTGGATATAGCTGGTATCTACAAATATCTAATACCCAACAACTGCAAAAAAGAAATAAACTCAAATGATGTTTTGGAGAAATATCCAGTCACCCACACAACGATCAAGCTCAAGACCTACATATTCATGAAGAGAGATCGTGACCCATGGGGAGATCCCACACGAACATGACAATCCCCTTTCTTCAAAACCATAAACAGAACAGATCAACACAGCATAGTCACTCATCCCCTGACTAGGACACAAGATTTTTATCCTAACCCATAACTTGTCTTTATGGGTGCCATGCCAATTTATGTTCTCATTTTATTTTTAACTTGTGTGCCGCTTTATAACCAAAAAAAATGGCAGGCCCAGTCACAGCCTTGCTTAACGAGTTCATCTGCTGCTCTAATTGTAGAAAATGCTGCCAGCTGTGGCCTTGTCAAGCAGCCCTCGTTTGCAGTTCAGTCATGAATAACGCTTGTACATTATTTCTCCATTGAATTTGTTAGTGAGGATTCTGATTCTATTATATCTCCAAAAACGGTCATTGATATGTAAACTTTTTAACATGAAATTTTATATACTTCAGATATCCAATTGACGCAATTGTGAATGGTGTGTTAGTCTTGTAGATATTGCCCATAGTGTTATGAATTTCAAATTCAGATGCAAAGGTGGATATTCACTCCATATCCACCACACCTTTTAGACCCCTAGTCTATCAAGCATTAAACATGAAGAGTTGGGAGTGTCAAAACTATCTTATTACTTATAGGTACTACTTATACCAATGAAGCATGAATATTCTTATTACAACACTAAAGGCCATAAATATCTATTTGTATGCATTCATGTGATATTAAATGTTACTTGCACATACTTGGTTTGTAAAATTACATGAACAGAATACAGATTTCTTAGTCATGAGTGTTGATGGGTTGACAAATTCCGAATGGGCTCAAGTGCTCAAGTAAATCTTCTTCAAAGTATAAAACTAAGCCTGTCCAGGGTCTAGAAACACCATCACACTCCACAAAAAACAGACATCTTAGACCTTGCATGCATTTTCACAGTGTAACATTAAAGAATTTCTTTCTAAATATATCTCCATGGTGCTTCAAAATTTATGCCATGATCAGTAAACCTTAGGTAGCACTAGTGATTTTTTACTATGCATGCAAAGTAGACAGATAGTAAGAACCCTTCTTACCAACTACCATTTGACTTAAGTTTTTCATTAGAAAAAGGTTGATAGGACAAAAGAGAAGTAAAAAATCAGCATAGCTCCTAGTTAATAACATAATGAAAGTAACCACATACAGCACTTTTCACTTTGTTCTGTTCATTATCAGTTACATTCCATAGCATTGAAGTTTTTATTTTCCAAACCTATAATGTGATAATAAAAAAGAAAACTGAGATATAATTTAATTGATCTTTAGTCTCACTTATTTGGGGTTAGCTAGGTGAGCTATTTGCTGCAATTTTGTTAAGATTGAAAGGTTTAACTATCACAAGCTTCACCACTTCAACTAACTAATAAACCTTGCAAGTCAATTATGGATGTGTCTGATATCAGAGCTTTCATCAGAAACGTATCACATAAAGGTGCCATAAATAAATTGCATGTATGATTTGACAACTCCAATACAGTACTCCTTGCATCCCAAAAGAAATGCAACGTTTGATATGACCCACATTTTAATATAAGTCTCAATAAGAATCAAATCAAATACTAAGAGCACGTTTAATACAACAAAAAATTGTAAGCAATCAATTCGACTAATAACTTGTCATAACTATCAAAGGACATACAGATAAATTTGGAAAGGAACCTTTCTAGAAAAAGAAGCAACGCATTTTTGAATACAGCCCAAATAAAATTTATTGTATTTTTGGGACAAATGCTCAAGACTATTCACTATTCCATTCATTTTCAACTGGACAGGAAAGTGCAGTACATTAACGTAGCAAGCCCTACACACATTGATATCCCCTACCATTCATATATGTTCTAAAATGTCTAGATTAAAAATTAACAATTTCATGCTCCCCACATCCATCTTATGTTGCAAATTATATAGTTTTCTATTCAATGCTAAAAATTTGAGCAACATAATGGTGAAAACTGACCCAAGTATAGACTTTATAGCTCCGTTTAAAGAGTATATCTAAAGAAACAAAAACAACTAATTTCAGGAGAGGAATAAGTTGATGATTTCTCCACCTTAATATCCTTGCGCAAGACAAGATTTGACAGCTTGAAATGTGCTGTAGGTCCATTAGGCAATCCAATAATCAGGAGTGCATCTATAAATAGCCAACAAGGTTGGTAAGTTTGAGAGGAAAAGGATGAATTAAGATAAAGATAAAAGGGGAAAACTAAAAGATCAGATCAATGAATGAAAGCAAGATGAAAAATAACCTGGTTCTCTACGGCTGGTGTGGACAACAATAACAGATGTAAATTCTTTGTTGTTTGCATATTCCACAATCTGAAAATTGTGGCCAAGCATTTTAGAAGCCTATATCTCCAAGAAAAATCATGCACAGAGAATATGAGCATGGGCGCTTAGGCCTTACCTTCTTCAAGTCATAGGTTCCTCTCTTATAGTACTCTGCATTGGGGATCACAGCGATTAAATCCTTGATCAATGCAGGTCCCCTCTGTAGTTAAGGTGGATGACAAGACATGTGATTAGGAACATTAGCATGTTTCTATAGTAATATGCATTGCAAACCCAATTGCATACCATCAACGTTCATCACAACACTCAATTCTAGCAAGAGCAACCTCTCCTAGAAAATGACAAACACAAGGAACAAGAAAGAAAGCCTACTGTGGAATGGAATCGACAAGTTGTGATCAGTATTTTTGGAGGTTGTTCACGGTTCAAAATTGAGCTAAATTCATCAGCATCATTACCAGCAAAAAGCTGCAGAAACATACATGGAATATCAAAACCGATGCTGATACAAGAAGTACCCATAAAATGTAGTCTAAACAATATCATGCTTTATGTAGATTGGGAAAGAGGTAGAGACAATACGAAACCTCTTCATCATCAGGCTTGCATACAGTTTCATCAGCCTCTCTAGTATTCTCAATTGTACGGGGAACCTTCTTTGGTGGAAGCTGCACAAATTTAATGTAAAAATGAACTCTAATTTCAGCATAACCAGATTAAAGCAGTCATAAAGAAAGTACAATGCGGCAGGGTTAGAGATATAATAGACCTCCTCTCCAAGTTCAAGAGCTCTGCTCTCCAAAGCTTCACGAGCCTTAGCATTCTTTCGCTTCTCTACTTTCTTCTCATGCTTTATTTTGGCGTATACAGCCGATCTTTTCTCTTTGTTTTTTATCATTGATGGAAGCAACTTCGGCTTTCCACCCGATTCACCAATATCCGTTCTCTTACTACGCGTTTTCGCTGCATCATCATCGTCAGATTGGACTTCACGATCTTTCCGTTTATTTCCCATTCCCTGGTAAAGGCGGCAAAACGATATTAACCTAAATGATACTTCTCTCAAGACACGAACCAAAATCACAATTATGAATCATTGATATGCAATGTACATATCCACATACATGTATCTAGAAATCAACAAATATAAAGAAACAAAGTCCGACGAATGAATCTCAATACATTTACTCAATAACGAAATTATACACATAAAGCAAATTCCAAGGCGGAAGATGGCAACAAATGAGGTTGCAGCTCCTTTGCGGTGCTTGCTTGTGGGTTATTTTGCTGAGATGAAGTGAAAAAGAAGGTAGTAGACTAACCTCTTACGAACGTGTAGGTAGGCGACCGGCGACTGCAAAAACTACTGTTGTTCCGCCGCCGGCGGCGAGGATATCGAGAGAGAAGGAGACTGGCAAAGCGGCTTGGGAAGGGTCTAGTTAGGGTTTTGTTTCATGGAAAAAAATCCGACCCGATTGAGCTGGAACCGACGACTGTAATATCCATTAGAGTAAATTACAGATTTGGTCCTTATGGTTATATCAAAATTATGGAGTGGGTCCCTCCAAACAAATTAATTACACATATCATCCTTGTGGTTTCAATTTTGGTGCAGATTGGGTCCCTTGTCCTAACTATGTTAGTTTTTAATCCATTCACTTAGGGGCAAGTCGGTCAATTTAGCTTTTGTCTAATTTTCTTGCTAAAAACCATATATAACCTATGAATAGATACACCCATCAGCCGCCGTTGCTCAAAAACAAAACATAGAGACCATCGTCTCACCCCTAATGTTACCTCTATTCACCCCTAATGTTACCTCTATTTTTGGTGAACTTACACCTACAATTTATCCTTCTTCCCTCCTTCCACAACCTCCCTCTGTTGTGATAAACCCACGCTCCTCTGTCCATTGCCATAAACCATGATCTTCCCTCCAATGTGATCAAGAGACATTGTGATGTTGACGAAAAAGATTGGTTTTATGGTCTCCAACCGTGAATGAAGAGAAGGCATGGGTTAAGGCAGGTGTAAGGTGGATTCAAGATTATTCTTTTGTTGGGTTTATACATGTGTGATTGGATGAACTAATGATGATAATTTAAGCAACTCCATGGATGTTGAGGTTGTTGCATTTAGTTACTTGCGTGTATCACGGGTAGTTGTTCCTTAATGATTTGCTCTCCATTTATATTTTCAACACAATACCCCTTTGCAGCAACTCCATGGATGTTGTACGTAGATGGATTTGTTTGAAGATAAAGAAACATCAATTTTGAATAAAAGAAACCAAAGAAAAGGCCAAAATGAAGATACAAAACATGTACAGGTGGTCCTCTGCGGATAAGTCAATCGTGGATTAGTTTCGTAGCAAAGTCAAGGAGCTCTACTTTTATCGGGATATTTGGTAGAACGAATCTCAACCCCGCCCCCATGTTCACTTAAGCTCCTAACAACGGGTCATGGGAACCATTTATCTTATTGTTTGTCTAAATCATCTTACTCAATGTGTAGTTCTTCGATTAGATTGCAACTCATTTGTGTTGATTCACAAATCACCTGCAGTTCTATCAGTGCTCGGGCTCTTTGAGATAAAAAGTCGTTTGCTATCTATATCTTCAATTCAACGTAGAAGTAGATTTCTTATCGTGAGTAATGGGTCGTTTACCCAAATGGTTACCCGCTAAGCATTTACTGGGTGACTTGCTTTATCGGATGAACATGACAAGAACTGAGAATCTTTATCCAGTAAAAGTGATAGCAACGACTGAGAGTCTTACTCGATAAGTGAAAGTGATGACTCATACCCGATTAGCACTTACCAGGAAAATTATTACATACAATGTTGTTTCAATAGACTATAATCCTACCCGATAAGGTAAATGAGAGTATCGAATATTTCCGGTAAATATTTATCGGGTAAGAGTTAGGTTAAACGCCTCCTAAGTCAAAAGAGAATGAAATTCGTCATCCCCCCTTCCCCCATTCCCAACGTAGCACCACCAGATCTGGACAGTACCCGAAGGACGAAACAAATATGTGAATAAAAAGTTGCAAACCAAACATGTGGGCGAAATCAAATATGCGATCTTCGTTCTAGAGACGAGTTCCAAATTTGATCTTCGTTATGGAGATGAGTCACATAATTATCAAACCTCGTAGCCTCTAATTCCATTGTTTCTAGACCAAGGGAGACGATAGAATTCTTCTTCCATATGCCTTTTGGTTCAATTTTTGAAGACACTGTTCTTTTTCTTCCTTATACTCCACATATTTGAAGGAGATAGAGTTGGGAGTCCTTCGATTTCTTGTGGCTGATGAGTCATTCAAATAAATAAACAAAAGAAAGCTATAAAAATATGATATAACCCTTGATGGATTACGAGTTAGTGGAGTTAGGGCAAGGGACCCATCCATAACAAAAGTAAAACCATGATAACCATATATGTAATTATTTCATTTGAGAGACCTAATCCAAAATTCTCAATAACCACAGGGACGAAATTTGTAATTTACTCTATCTATTATTAGAATTAGAGTGATTTTTACCTCCTGAACTACGTCTAAATTGCGATACAGTCCTTCTAGTGAAAAGGTCTACAATAAGCACATAATAACTGAATAACTTGAATATGGAAATGTTAGGGAAATCAAGATAAAAATTTTAATTGATATTATTCAATCCTCCCAATTTGAATAGGAACTACAAAAAATTTAGTAATGCGTCAGGGATGTTGTTGAAGTGTGTCACATCTCTAGATATATTATAAGTTATTATATGGTCACGACATGTGTCATACATAAATACTATTAACGAGTATATATAAGCCTATAAGGTTGCACACAAAGAACAGATATGCTTCTATTATCAGAAACTTGAATTAGATGATGTTGAATATTAAAATGATTAGTCTTGTAGAATTATTATAAATATGTGTTAAAAATGTAATTATGATAATTACGAAGTTTTATATGTAAATATAGATATTTATGTTTAAATAAATATATTTACGGATAATTATAAAATATTATTTGATTTGTAGTTTATCTATAATTCAATCAACTCATAAATAAGATGATGAACCCAAATTGAATGAATTTAATCTTTTAGGTTACTAGCTCTCAGACAAAAACAATAAAGGAAACCCTTTTCTTTTGTTGTTAAAAACGCATATTAGATTTAAGGGTTTTGGTCTAGGATCCAGTAAAAGATAATAGTGTGTTCGTATGTAGATCTACATAGAGGAAATCTGCACTGATTTCCAAAGTGCTCCGTCAGAACCCACGTGAAATTTGAAAGGTAACTATTTAAACACCTTATAGTTCGTTTAGATTTATTTTGAATGTCATTGGATTAGGCTAAGGGTTTTAATTTTAGAAAAAATTCTAAATAAGTAAACCCAAAAAAAAAATTAATTGCATTTTAAAAGTTACAAATCAAATCAAAACCTAATAGTGGTATCAGTGCAACTTTAACATTAAACCAAACATATCAGAATTAAAAATAGAACGAGAACCGGAATAGGGCAACCCACCACCGGTAGCCAGAGCCATGGCTAGGGTTTTGCCCTATGTCATGCGTTGGACGTCGAATCTACCCCAAACCATCACCACACCATGGCTACCACCTGATCTGAACCACGTGGGTCATGATCCTGACGCACTGTGGCGTGAGCTGTTATTATATCGCGGATGTGTCCCATAACGACGCTGCTCGTCATGCCTTGGCATGGTGGGTTGGTGTTGTTGCTCATGGATCCCCACGAGTGGAACCTCACGGATGATGTTGTCACCGTTGGAGCCACCGTTCATCTCACCACCGCACCCGGTATTTGGTTGCTGGATTGCAGTTAGTGTCGTGGCCTCCATGCCACTGAATTTCGTGGTGTTCATACCACCATAGCGTGGCCTCCATGTCGTTGGTTTCTTGGCCTCATGCCACCCAGACCATAGCTTCGTGTCACTCAGACTGTGGCCTCGTGCCACTTGAACCATGACTTTTTTTTTGATTAACATGGATATCCAACTCGCTATGCGAGCCGACTAATCCAGGGTGACCTATTGTTTTGCAGATAGCCCGGAGTCACCGCATTTGAACTTCCGTGGCCACAAGGGGATTTTTATTTCAACTTGGATTTGAACATGAGACCTCCTGGTACTTTTGACATTTGGAGCCAAGTTCAAACCAATCAGGCACCACCCTTGTGGTTTTGAACCATGACCTTTGTGCCACTAGAACCATGGCTTGGGCCCTTTTTTGATGTACCACGGCTGCTGCTGTTTCGACCCACAGTGTCGTGCGCCAGCTATTGCACCAAGCCATGGGCCTTGGGATTTGGGGGGTGTTTGGACCGAACCCTAGTTTCTATTCTCGTTTATTAATTTCAATTTTTTGGCCTATTATTTATGTTTATTTATTATGACCGAACTTTAACTTTTATGTTTAAATTTTACGTAATATATGGTATGCTCCAAAAGATCCGCGGTTTGTTTGGTTGTTTTATTTTGAAAAATTAAAATGTATAAATTGCAAAAGGTTGTAATTTTATTTTAATTTTGTAGATAGGAATTAACAACTATAAAATAGAATAGAATATGTTGTACTTCTTATTTCAAAATTGTAACCAATCTGAAGACGACATTCCATGAAGTCAAGACGAAGTCTCGGAGTCCACCAAGTTGGCGCGTTTGAAGACGTCCTTAGACCAACCATGATTGTTGTGTTGGCTCATGACACCCCATTAAAACGGTTATACCATATATTATCTCTTGTGTTGATTTAATTTTGGGCTTACATTATTTATTTGCTTTTGATTATTGTTATAATTGCAAATGTTTTTAGAATAAAGTTAAACGCAAAATAAAATTTTAAATTGGTAATCAAAATATGATATTTTAATATTGATATGGTTATCAAGTAAAATCGACTTTAATTGGATAAGATTTAACAAGATTTTAATTGTAGGGATAAAATTAAACGTTTCAATTTTAAGGTTGAATCATAATCAAAATCAAAGGAGTAAACCCAAAAATCAGAAGACCCATTTGAACTTGAATCACAAACCGATCACTAAGGTTAAATTAAACCCAAAAATTAGAACCTTGACTCATCTTCTTCAAATTTTAAACCAAACCCCATTTCCGGGAACCCATTTTGAAACCCAATTGTTGTCTGAAAATGATTGTTGTTTGAAAATGACTTCTAGGGTTGGAAAGCAGGGTGGGAACGGAGGTTTGGCCGACACTCACAAGGACGATATCATAGGAATTAACTACGTGATTTCTTGCAGGAAACGAAGAAATAGAGTAACAGGGACGAAGAAGGAACCAACTTTTGTTTGTTAACTCCAAGACCAAACAACCTCTTTGATCCCATCCCACCACTTTAACCCATCTCTACGAAGCAACACAGACAAACAAGGATAAGAAAGGGTTCTATACCTTCAATTTGGTCCATGCGATTTGATAGACTTCTATAAGTTTGATTTGGTCATGATGATTCGGTCCTTGTTACAATGGTTGGAGAGAGAACAGGAGAGGGAAAAATCTTAACACAAGGACGATTTCCATTTTCAAGTTTTCATAGGGATGATTTCCTCATCACCGACCAAATACCATCGTCGATACCATAACACAACCTCCCAATCACGATTTGATGATTTTCATACGCTGATAACCTATTGTCTTTTATCCCAATTTTGAACAGGCAGCGGATGATTTGATGGAGAAATACAGTGGAATGCAGGGGCCATATCATAGGGACCAAAAATACTCGGAAAATCATTGGGACTAAATCACAACAACAACCATCGATTTGGTGATAAAACAACCACATTGATTAAATCATCCATAGTATTGCATTTAAATGGGTGTTGTAATCATAAAACATCACATCCAGTTTCGTGTTTGTTGTGGTAATCCGATAGCCTGCGAAGATAGGTGGGTTTCCTTGAATGAGATCGTGATGATGTTGATGTAGATGAAGATGAAGATGACGACAGGGGACTGAGTTTGGGTTGGGAAGAGTTAATTACGTAACATATTCTATAACTTGATGGTTTTGTATAAATAAGGAAAAAAAAACAAAAAAGAGTGCAAAAGGGGGACAAAACATGGTTGGATGATTTTACTCCTACCTCTAACTCACATAGTAGACAAAGTTAGGTGACGTTTGTTTTTTTAGAGGTTCTGAAGTCTGATTTCACTTCTGAATTTTAAGAGGTGGTACTGAAGTCTGAAATCTGAATCAGTCAGACTGTTTTGTTTTTACGTCTGAAATCTGAATTAGTCAAGTTTTGGATCTGATAGATTTGGATCGATCTGGGTCATGATTTTACGAGAATATGTGGATCGATCTGGGTCGTGATTGATTTGGAGATCGAATGTCTTGCAAGATAGATTTGGAGATCGAATGTCTTGCGAGATAGATTTGAAGGACTAAATCTGGAGGTGAGGATGGAGGGGAGAGTCTGGAGGGAGCGATTAAGAGGATTTAAGTGATTATGTTATCACTTTTTTTCCAGAGCAAATTAAGAACTTTTCAGCTCTTATTTATATAAAAAAACAAACGGTCTGAAAATAAAAACGTCTGACCAGTTCAGACTTAAGAGGCATTAAGTGGTTTTTTTCAAAAACCAAACAAGCCCTTAGTGATCAGGTCCCATTTTCAAAACAAAATCCAAACCTTAAGTACGACTTCTTGACTTATTAAAGTACATGTCCCACTTTTAATAAATTCACTAAGCCTCAAGGACCAAAATTGAAGTTTACTCTTTATTTTTTGATGTATTGTTATTGAAATTTATAACTTGTATTTTTTAATAATATAATTTAATATTTACAGTAACTATAAAACAAAATTAACATTGGTCTAAGATCGAATTCAAATCAAATTCGGTTCCACCTATGAAATAGACCTGATTGGAACCAAACCTTGTTGGTAGGAGTGTGTCAAACATGTTCTAATACCGTAAAAAGCAGGATGTGAATGAAACGAATTACATTTAGTGGATCGTCCGTGAATCGAATGGTTAGAGATTTATTTATGTTCGTTTATTTAATAGATGAACAAATATGATTTTTTTTTTCCAGTTGGTTAGACGAACGAACACAAACAAATATCTCGTTAATTCAATTATTGTCGTGAACGCTCGTTTATTTATATTTGCTTACGTTCTTATATGCTCGATTGTGTTCATATACCAAATAGTTAATAATAAAATTAGTGAATTAATTTAAAATATATTATAGTTTTTTTTAATTTACTTTGAGATTTCAAAATACTTCAAGGAATGAGATAATGAGTAACGGTGGTTATTTTGTTTATTTATGTTTGCTATAATAAAACTAGATTTATATGACACCAAAAAAAATGTCCGATTGTTATATTATCTATACTATATTATAAAACATTTGGCTAAAACTCTTAAAACTCTTAAAAACTTTTAAAAACTCTTAAACCCTTTCATTCCTAAACGAATTCATCCCTATCCGATTTCATCCCTAAATTCGTGAAACTAACTGCAGATAAACACAATCAAATACAGGATAAACATCTCATTTTAAATATAAAAAATCTAAAAAATAATTAGTATAATCATTAAATTCTAACAGAATACTTAATTATTATCTTTATAAAATTTATAATATTAAACCAAAAATAAATTGTTTCATTATTAAACTTAAATTAAA